GCCACCTGTGGGCTGAAACAGCAGAGAACAAACTGTAGGTTCCCAGGCTTCCCTGAACTTTTATAAATTACTCCAGTTTCTGCATGAAGTGAAAGTAACCTACAAGCAAGTGCCAGAAAAAATATGTCTGGCTTCCAGGTGAGCCAACTATCTCTTATTGTTTGCAAAGTGCTGAGGAACATGTGAGAAAATGCGTGGTTATCCACACTGAACTGTGGGACAGAGATAAAAATGCGTGAGTGAATGAAGCTGAGGCTTCATTGATCCAATCTGTATTTAAAACTTTCAATTTAAGTGACAGCTAGATAAAGTCTGAGAGCTTAGTCGTTAACAGGCAACAAACTACCTCCTTTTCAGACATGGAAGAAAGAACCTGTATCAGGAACTGTTTCAGAGCTGGTAGAGGAGTTAGTCTTGTCAAAGAGAGTGATTCATTTTTACCGAATTTACTTGATTCCTTAAGAGCTGGGCAATATTCAAATCACTAACCCTGGGCTCTCCAAACGTGTGCTTTGACACCTTACTGGACACCACGGGAGCACACGTGCACACCCTGTTCCATCCAAGCCATTGTTCCCACCACCACCACCGTTCTTCCGTACACAAGGACAAGACAATTTCTTTGTTACTAACCAAGAGAGCTTTCCTCTCCCGTGTCCAGCAGATGCGCTGCCAGCAGCATCGCACCCCTCCAGCCGCGCCCTGCGCAGGGCTCCTGCCCACACCTTCTCCTGGGACCGAGCCGCTGCCTTGGTGCTGCTCTAGGGCTCATCGGGGGCAGGCGACTGTTTTATCTCTCCCCTCCTTCCCAGGGCTTAAGGATGCAGATGGAGATCTGTCTCTCGCAAACACTGAAGGATACGAGGTTTATAAAGAACACCTACTGAGTAATGGATTTACTTTCCCCAGAATAGGAACGAATTAAGAAATAAATTGATCTCCGAGACAGGCTGTCTTTGAATTTTAACACCGTAAATGCTAATATCCAGTAATAGCTGTTTCATCAAACACATGCTGAGTCCTGCTGCTCTCACATCGCCAGAATAGTCCGTGACTAAACTCATCGATTGTTTCTGAGACGAATGCTTTGGCAAGTTTGGTGCCTTGCGTTTGTACGTAGCCCTGTTCCTGTAGGCCATGGCGGAAGAAGCTGGAGGCCAGCTTGTACTTCCTCGATCCACCCTCGGATTGCGATCCTGCAGATCACCTTGCTTTGGCAGCTGGCGAGCTTGCGCTCCTTTCCCCAGGCAGGGGGATACACGCACATAGCTCCAGACTTACAATCACTCCTGTAATTTGCTCTGCCAACAAAATCATAAGCACTGTAAACAGTCCACAGGGCAATTATATACTGCAAAGCAAGCTGAAGCCACACATTTAATTCAGAACCAAGGGCTGCATTACAGCCAAAAGACATTAAAATCCTTTTGCTGACAATTACCTGTGCCTCAGCTTAATTTGACACTTGTGTTTTGAGAAAAAAAAATCAAGACAGCATTGTGTACTTCCACGTGCACACCCAAAAGACACCCTGCTTTTGCCTTGCACATCTCGCATCCGTAGCACAAGCGGGAACATAAGGAACGTCAGCTGAGCACCGGCACCCACACGGGGTGAGGACACGACTGTCTGCCTGCTACAGGATTGCAGCGGTGACTGCGCCCCTTACCGAGCGAGCTGACAGCACTAGTAAAGGGATTTTCACCTCAGCCCTGCTGCAAACACCCAGCTGCTGCCACGAAAATGAGTCGCTCAGCCTGCAGTCATCTAAGACAGCCTAGCGTGGGTAATGTTAAATAGGGAAGTGATCATCTAGGTTAGCTTCTGCAAGGTTTATCACACCTAACTGGGGCCTAGGAAGGGTAATACTAGAACTGCAGACAGAAAGCACTACCCAAAGCAGCTACAATAGGAAATACTAGCTGCTGCTTATGCTTATCCTGTGCAAAATCCAAGAGACCCAGTTCCTCCATGAAGATAAGCCTGCTTTCTTCACTCATAGTGGCACCATGTATTAACATGGGGTGGTTTTTTTCATCGTGGTGATTTTTTTTCCTTTTTTTTGTGAGTGTGTGTGTGTGTTGTTTTTTTAATAGTAAACTGCCTAGGTGGTTTTTTTCATCGTGGTGATTTTTTTTCATTTTTTTTGTGAGTGTGTGTGTTGTTTTTTTAATAGTAAACTGCCTAAAAGTATGTATACCTGTTTTTCTATCCTTCCATCCCTATGAGCTGAGCCGTGCTAACGAATTATCTGAGCACTTCTCATCCTTTTCAGTATGCATTACTGCAAACCACTTATCCTGAACCACTACAGACCAGAGCTTTCCCTGAGCTAGTTTGTTTTGCACTGGCAAAAGCAGCAGGAGTGCTGGCATGACCCACTGCCCCAGCTCCACGCAGGAGCTGTTGCCATCCCAACGTCTCCCCACTGAGGCCCCGATCCTGCCCACCTTGCTGGCCTCTTGAGAAAAGGATTCCTGGGCACCACACGTGCCTCAGGGATGGCACAAACAAGAGAAGGTAGGATGCTCAGACAGAAGGCAGGATGCTCAGACAGAAGGCTTGCTGCCAAAGCAAATACACGCATGTTTGCAGGCTCCAGCTCTGAGTCACCAGAACCGTGAAACATCTCTCCTCCTCCGCCTCATACACCCGGCTGGGAGAGCCAACTTCTGATTAGAGGCAGTTGTGAAGTTGCTGATAAACTGTTCTTCGTCACAGTTTGTTGCAACAGACAGTTTAAGCAAAATGATCGGGATGTTGGTTTTTTTTCCAAAGCTTCCCCGTGCATTTTCTCAGTCTGGAGTGGAATTGCTTATCAGAGGACACAGTCCTCTCCAAAACAGCCTCTTGGCCGAGACCTCCCCCAGGGCGTAGGCTCAGGAGTGTCCTAACCACCAACACTGAGAAGAGACCCCCAGCACCAGTGCTCCACTTGGCCTAGAAAACATTACAATGGAGGAATGTTGGCAGCCTGCTGTTTAAGGAAAGCGTGCAGACCCAGACCCAAACAAGGTGACCCTCCTCTTTCTGCTTTCTTGAAGGAAGTAAATACATTTGCAAAAACTTATTTGTTTCAGTGTGGGCTGAAAACATTTTTTGATCTATTTTTTCATAAGCCAAGAGGAAAAAAAAAAAAGTTTCCCACTTGGTTCTTACTTCTGATGACATAGCTTCTAAAATTCACCCAGGACTGGTGGGGTTGTAAACCTCTGGTTAGCAACAGTGGCTGAAACAGGGTAGTAAATGAGCAAAGAGCATCCATATTCAGAGCATTCAACAGCCCTCCAGCTCCTCACCAGCTTAATGAAGTATAATGAAAGGAAATTAATGAGCTTTGTCACCATTGCCAAAGGAAAGGGCAGCTGGAAATATGCAGGAACCCAATATGAACTGAGCATGATTAAGTACAACTATTGTTCTGAATAAAATGGTGCTGTTATACCTAAAGAGCCTACAGCAGTCTCTTGTCATCACAGCCATTTAGTGGGCTCTGCTTTAATTGCCTCCAAAAGCCACCCTTTCCAATTTAAAACCTGGGACAGAAATATGTAGGCACTAACCTGCATCCATTTAGATAGTGGGGATTCAGTGGGAGAGCCAGGAAGATGGATATTTTACAGGGAACTGCTCGGTACTCAGCACACAGGGCCACATGGCTGTGATGTGTGTGAGCACCGCTGCCACAGCCTGCGGTGGGGCAACTCCCGGGTTTTTTCCCCCCTGGCCGCCAGCCGTAGCTGAGGGAGCGACACACCAAGGCACGCCCAGGGCCAGAGGGGAAGCACCATGTCCCCGTCCCCTCCTGGCTCCCAGCAGGCTCCCTCAGTGCCCAGCCCCTCTCCCCATGGGGACCACCACCAGCCACAGAGGGGTCAGCAGACAGCAACACGCCACGAGCATTTATTTATCAGGACAGGCCTTTCCCTCTCCAACACCCGCGACCCTGTGCCACCTAGAAGGCGAGAGCCCCCTCGCTAGGGCAAGCGCTCCCTTCGTCGGGCAGCACTGCCTCACCGTCGACCGACTGCAGCGTATTTGCTCCACGCTGATCAATCCCACCAGCACATCAGTCTCCTTCGCTGTTGCCACATTTGCCAGGACAAAACTTCCACTGTGCCATGATGGGGGAAGCGCTCCCTGACCACTTCTGTCCCAAGCATAAAGTCCAGCTCACGCAGGACAGAGCCTTGGCTTGGCTCCCAGCAGCAACACGGCAACAGCTCAACTCTGGAGGCAACTTCAGTAAGACACAGAGGGGCTGAGGCACAGCCCCTCACGCACAGACCGACAGAACTGCAACGTGCAGAAGGCACCGGGATGCTCTGCAGCACTTGGAAAAGCTTCTTCTCCCAGCACACAGCAGGACACCTGACCCCAAAGCCCATTGCCTGGGGCACCGAGAGCAGAAGGAGGAGCGAGGCTGCCGGTGAGGCACAGCTGTTGCCGTGGTCCTTGACGAAGCATTTTCATGCCGGCACATGTAATGCCCTAAACTTGCATCTGTCCAAGTATTCATCAAAAAAATAGCAATCCAAATCTAAATTAACATTTTCTCTTCTGTATTCTTAACTGATTCACACAAATGAAAAGATGATCTTCCCCCTTCAGATTAATTACTTTAAAGGCTCACAGTTTCTTGGGAGACAATACCCAACTCAGCTCTGGCAATGGAGCAAGACTGGAATCTGGCCTCAGCTAGTCTGCTAAGAAAGTCAAAGTGGAGTTGTTCTGGCGAGAAGAAAATAGAGGAAATGTCTCCTCTCTTTCTTGGGGAAGAGGAGTATTTTAGAAGGACCTTTCTAGGACCTTTAGTCAGTTCAAATAGTCCTCAGATCTCTTCTGGGCAGACTTCTCTACAGAGTGCTGAGTGAAGAGCTCAGGGCTCCGGCTTTCCCTCTTTAGCTTCTAGGAGTAGTGTATGATTAAAACAATGCTCCAAAGCCTTTGCTGCCGACAACAATCCAGCCTGTGTTCCAAGCAGAGTTTCTATAGGGCTTTTATAGCGCCGCATTCTTTTTAGACATGAGTTTGAATCCATCATCCAGGATGGACCTCCGATTGCGTCGTAACCTCTTCTGTCTCTCCAGATAGATGATCACTCCCACGAGGAAGCAGACGACCAGGAAGAATACAATTCCTACAACAGTTAGAGCGATGACTGTGGCCTCTATCTGCCCTTGAGCCAACTTAGCTCCAAAAAGCGTGATCTTCTGGGACTCGTCTGCATCCTCAGGTGGCAACTCTGAGAGATAAACGATAAGATAGTGCCAATGAAAGCCAGAAATACCACAACTGAAAGGCTCCAAGAAATATAAAAAGGAGCAAAAGAAAGACCCAACACAATCAAAGCAAGCCAAAGGAGCCCCAGTTGCCATCCATCTGACAGATCCTACTCCCTTTCTCCCTGGTGCTGCTCAACTAAACGCCTTCTCACTTCTCATGCTCCGGCTCTTTTCCTGGAAGGACGGAGGAGATGTGCCTGTTTGCATGCTGACCGAGTCCCTTCACCTTGTAACGGTGAATGTAAGGGTTCTCTAAACCACAGGTACTGACAGTCCAAGAAGGGAGGACAACTAAACTAAGGCACTCCTGGGATTTTGACTGAAAGGCGTAAGAGAAATCACCTCCTTTGCAACATCCTCCTTGAAAACCCTTGGAATTTCCACTGGTTTCTATGCTTGCACTCTCCTGTGAAGAGGGATCCACACACAGTAAGTGCAATGAGACGCAAGGGCCACTAAAGGTTTTCACCTAACGCAGTCAGGCAAGCCCAGAATGCTTATTTTTATCAGCAGAGCACAGACATTTGGCAGACAGATAAACAAATGAGCCTGGAACACTCCCTGCTGTCCCTCAGTGGCCAGGCCTCAGCCCAGCAGAGGAGAGGCTGCCGGGGCTGCTTGAGCTGCTCCCTCCTCCTCCTCCTCCTCCTCCTCGCAGGGCCCCCAGCCTCCACACAAGCACAGATTTCCCTTCCTCCGCAACATGCCCGTACCTGCACTGTGGTTCGTGACTGCTTGCATCGGCTCTGAAAGGAAATAAGAAGAGAGTGAGAAGGGCCGGGCTGAGAACATAGAGCCCAGAATGCAGCACGCTCGGCAAGGATGGGATCCAGCAGCAGCGTGGTTTTCCGGGGCTTGCAGGTCAATGCTTTCAGCCTCCCGCATCACACAAAGAGCAGGTTTGTATTTTACCTGCCTCGAGAGCAGGCCCCTTCCAGCTGCACAACACTGCAGGGTGTTTGAAAGAAAAGCACAAAGTCTCTGAGAGTGCCACGGGCTGGGCCCGGCTGGCAGAGTCCCTCCCTCACCTCCACGGGATCACAAGGGCAAAAGTGAGAAGAGAAACTCGTGGGTGGGTTGAGATAAAGACAACTTAATAAGCAAAGGGGAAAAAAAGCCCAAACAAACAATCACCACCCCAAAACCCCAGGCAATGCAAACACAATTACTCCCACCAGCAGAGCAATGCCCAGCCAATTCCTGAGCAATGGCTACTTTGCGAAATTAAAAAAAAATAAAACAAACCACCACCAAACATTTTCACTGCTGATCGTGGTGCTGCTTTGGTCAATTTGGGTCAGCTGCCTGGCCGTGTCCCTCCTGCCTCTTACCCACCCCAATCTACCAGCTGAGAAACAGAGAAGACCTTGTCACATGCAAGCACTGTTCACCAACAGCTACAACACTGCTGTGTTATCAACTCTGTTTTGGTAGTGAATTCAAAACGCAGCACTGCAGGGGCTGCTATGAAAAACATTAACTCCATCGCAACCAATCCCAGTCAGAGAGTCACCCACCTTCGAGCACCCTCCAGTGTTTCCTGGCGAAGTGAGAAGCCTTAGGACATGCATTTGGATTGCAGGTAATATTCTTAGTAAGAACAATTACCAGCTGAGGGCTGAACATTGCTTCTTGGGCATGAGCTAAAGTAAAACTCATAATAATAACATAGGCAATGTAAACCCCAGAAAGCAATTTGTTATTAATTCCAACTGCAGGTATTACCATATTCAAAGGGAACATCTTAAATTAATAGTACTTGAGTAATTATCTGCTCAATAAACTGGCCATTTATGGTATGTAAGAGCATTGTAAACCGTGATGCAAACATTCAGAATTTAGCAGCAGTAGTAGAAAGCACAGTTAGATGCTTTACGGTAACAATCAGCGAAGCTCCCCACCTGGTCTGGGCAAGACTGTGAAGACTATCTCCATGCCAGCGTGAATATGATCAGACACGTGGCAGTGAAGCAGCCACGTCCCAGGGTTCCCAACCAACATCTCCACCATTTCAAAGGTCCCAGGGAACAGATCCACAACATCTGCTCTGTAGCTTTTGCCATTCTGTCAAGGGGAAAGGAGGCTGTTAGCATGCAGTGCTCTGGACATCTTCTCAAAGAAAATTCTGTCCGTGTCACTGGAGACCACCTTGGTGCTACAACAGTTTTTAAAAAAGCTAAAAACACAAAGGTTTTAAAGAGCAGCTCCAGCGCTCTAGCCAGCAAAGCAGACACAGTCTGGTAATGCCTAATCCTAAGAAGGGTTAAACTAGATGTATCAGCACAATGCAGTGGCTCAGTGAGTCAGATCTGGATGTGTGAAATCACATCCCATTCCTAGTTGGGTGAAGTCAATCAAGTTCAAGGCAATTGGAGTCAAGCAAAAGCGATGATATTGGTGGTCCGTCTCTGCTTTATTATCAGCAGGATGTTCTTACCTTGTATATGAAGGTCTCAGCATGAAAATGGACTGTGTGGATATCGATCTCCTGACCCATTCCCAGTAGGTACCAGTTCACCCACTCTCCCTGGAACATGGTCAGGCCAGGCACGTTCGCATAGAGCCTCCCGTTGATTGCTGTGCAGTAAATAACATACAGAGAGCATAGAAAAAGCTGTTACTGAAACGGTAAAGATGCTGAACAATCTCAGAGGAAGAACATGCAGGGCAAGCTGGATACTGCAAAGCTCACAGAGCAACCAGCAGTTACTGTCTTCCACATGACAAAATTTGGGCAGTCTCTCTCCAGCTTGACTGCTTATGCACTCTGTTAACAGGCAGAAAAAGTAAAGTGACTTGCGTTCAAGGCCACGCTGTAGCTCAGCTCAAATAAATCTCAAGATCTTGCTGAAAACCTGGAGTCAGCCAGCAGAGATGATGGTTTCTAGAAGTCAACATGTGTAGAAATGGCCTTCGTAGCGCAGTGATAGGGAAATACATATTTATCTATAGACATAAATCTCTGAACAATTTACTTGCTGAACAACGGAAACAGTAAATACTGCCAACAGGCAACCCTGTCACTGTAACAGTCTCACACTGGCTGTACCTGTTACATGCTGATCCCTTGTAAAATCCCTGCACGGCAGGACTTCATTTCATAATTAGCACAGCAAGAAGGAATACTGCTTTGACTGCAAATGCAAGAACGGGAACAAACCAGCGAGCGAGCCGAACGCGACAGCACATACGTGGGAACTCTCATGCTCAGACGACAGCACAGGGGTAAAACACCGAGACAGGACCTGAGGGCGGGAACACTGGTGCTTCACTCCCAGATCTGCCATAGGCACTTCCCGGAGCCCAAAACAACTTCAGTGTGTTGCTTTTGCCAGCTATAATGTCAAGTTAACGACTATAACAATGAACTCGAGTATTTGGAGATTCCCTATATCACTTTTACAGGTGATCAGCAGCAATGATAGTACACATAATGCAAATCCTCACTAGTCTTATCTCCACAACGGCCAAGGACATGTTTTCCTGAGAATACTTGGATAGATCCAGATATAACATGAAGAAAAACTATTGTAAATAACATGATAATTTAGAAAAATCCTGCTATGATAGAAATAGCTTTTTGGTAACCAACTAAAACAACCGAGCCATGTATTGCAGCCTCACAGCTCAGTCAATTAATTTGACATCTAGCATGCTGTACGGTCCTGAGACAAATGTAATGAAATTAGTCTGACATGTTAACTTCACAATTGATTTTATTTTCTCTCCTGACTCACTCAGACACAGCAGAGACTACCCTCTCTGGCCCACATCTTGCTATTCTTCCCAACAGGGACAGTCAGAACAATTAGCCTTCATCGCAGATCAAAGATTTGTGACACGTACGTGCCGCAATATTGAGAACAGAGAGTTTAATTCTGTTTGCACCACTAACAACAGAACAGGATGAGGGCGTTCACTAGCAGTCAGGCTCTTGGGTTTTGGGTGGTGACTACTCTAAGAGGTCACAGGGTCAGCACCAACTTGGCATAGACAGTAACGGGTGCTGAGGTGCCTAACAGGCATTACCATGCATTTTGTTGCTTTCCACAAAACTGTGATCCAGCAGGTTGATCTCCTTGGAATTTCCCTTACTGTAACGCTCCACATTCTCCTCCAAGTACCAGGACTGATTTTCATCAAAAACCAGGAAGAGCAGAGCAAACTCTCTCTTTACATCCCTCCTGATCCCATCAGGCTGCAGTGCCCCTCTCCGGCAGATCTTCAGGGGTCCAATCAGGCCGCTGTACATGTCCTAATTGCATGAAGGAGAAAAAACTCTGAGGAAGAGATCTCACGCTCTTTTGTACACAGCTTTTTGCCTTTCAGCAGCTGTATTATCTGTCCCCTGCATCACTCTGCTTAAAACAAACATTGCTGCTGCATAAGTACTCTCATGGGTGAAAATTGGCGACCAAAGCACAAGAACAGAGACTATACACATTCTTACAAATGCAAATCCAAAAGTCATAAATATGAATGGTATATTCTCCACACTGTGGCTGCAAAACCATCTGCAACTTGAGATAAAAAGCCAGTGATCACTGGGCTGAATATGAGGGTTTACTGCACAACCCTCCGGGTTGTTCCTGTGAAATGAGTGCTGTAACAATTGATCCTAACAACACTCAAATCTTCCTGCTTTATCTGTGGGGCCTAATTCTGAACAATTTCTGTCTTTCTTCATTAAGCCTACAGCTCTCACTAACAGAAACCATGACTTGCTGGAAGATGTTATTATATCCCATAAATAACTGGGGGCAGGTTGGTGTCAAGGAGACAGCAGAATTGTTTTCTGTAGGTTTGTGTTGAGGTGGAGGGCGGGGGTGGGGGGAAAGAAAAAATAAAGACAAACATCAGGTCAAGTCTGGAGGATTTCCTCTCTCAAAAGAACGCTGGACACATCACCAGGTTTTTCTGCCTCTCTACTGGGCCAATCTCTAAACTGCATCCAGCTCACGTTGTTTTCTAGATGGGGTGAAAAATTGGTCTACCTGGGCTTTTGTGGTTCTGACTTGTATTTTACCTTTACTGGGTCCACCACAGAGTAGTAGATCCAAGGGACACAGGCTGAATCATTTGATCCTGGACCAGACCTCTCAGGAACTTCCCATCGGTACGTCACAATGTCACCTAAGTGGCAGAGAAGCACCATTAACACCAGTGTGATACCCCCACCCACCACTGCTGAGCCACACGCGAAGCAAAACAAAAAGAACAAAATAAAAGAGAAATAAGAAAAAAAAAGATCCTGTCCCCAAAGCACAAATTCAATTCTGATTTTGTTGGACATTGCATCTTCTTTCGCCAAACCATGGGAAGCAGAGCGGAAGGCTCCCTCTCACACGCAGACGGGTCACAGGATGCGCCCACTCACTCATATCATCACAACTGCCATCTGCCGCCTCTGAGACTGCACCTGACCGAGGAAATTGCACCTCTCCGGTACAGATGGAGCTTAAGATGATCTTCCACCTCTTTTAAGGGTATTTACAATGTTCATTCCAATTTACTTTTAAAAAAATTACTATTTTGCATCTTAGCAATACATTTCAGACAGACAGAGCCTGACTGAAAATCTGTTTGTTGCTTAGTCAGCCCACAAGTTGAAGGGGACCAAAAATTACAAAAATTGCCATCTGGACTGCAAAACAGACTGGTGATTTCAGTTAGTGTCCTGGCAAGCAATTGTGCTCTTCTCCTCCTTCATGCTATTGTGCACATCACAAAGTACCGCTCCCAAAGAGGAGGGGCGGGCTTTCCCCATCACAGGTGGTCAGCCCAGGGCTACCAGGGACCGATGGAGCTACAAACTGCCACCTCCCCACTCCTTCCCACAGACAGACACCCACAGTGCAGGAGACTGGGCTGCACACAGAAAACTCTGTGCTACACTGAACCTAGAAGTCAGAGCAGAATGTGAACTCCCAGAGCTGCTGTTCCCACACAAGTGGGACCGCTAAAACCACGGTGAACCCAAAAGACCAGTTACTGTCCAGTTCTCATTTTCTGCCATAAGAAAATAAGTACATCCAAGCCTATGTAAGGAAACCAGTCTAGCTGTAGGCTAAAACCAGCCTCATAAGCCCATACAGGAATACAGCTGGAGACCACAGTAACTTACCAGGGTTTGCCACTTGCGGCTGTCCTGCCCCCTTCTCCAGCACCCCGTGTGCATGAATGGAGTAAGGTCGCGTGGCATTGTTCTTAAACACGATGTTCAGAATATCCCCCACTTCTGCCCACAGAAAAGGACCTTGAGACAGGAAGAATGTACTCTGAGACTAGCAAAAACTCTCACCGTACCTCCCGAGGATGTTCCCATCTCTCTCATCATCTTCTCCCCAGATGCCTCCCCTTATATTTAGAATGTTCTCCTCCCTTTTCTCTACCTTACCTCTACCTCCCAAAGAGACAATTGGAGGTGAGTCCCAATTCAAGTAAGTCTTAGAAAACCAGATGGAGTTCCACAATGAGGGAAATGAACGTTGTTATGCATTTTAACCATGCTCAGTACAACTAAGAGTTGATTTTTGAATACTGTTATGTTAAATTTCACGGTGTCTTGATCACACACCAGATGTCCAAATACTTAGGAGGCCTTCAGATTACAGCCCTTAGCTACTGAAGCTCTAGATCGCATCACTGCGTGAGTAGAAGATGTACCCTCTGCACATATCCTTACCTAGTATTCCCAGGTGCTCATCACCGTTTATCCTGGCCTTGGGGGTCTGGAAAGTCCCATCGGTGTACTCCCTGTAAACTGCTTTCTTGTACCTGGACCCCAGCAGTCCATTCTCGTTGCTCAAAAATACATTGGCGTAGCTGAGAAATGCAGAATGAGTGCTGAGATACCCAAAAGCTCGTGGGGAATAACGGCTGACTTGTGGCAGGGGCTCACTTCCCAGAGACGTGCTTTGGCTGCAAGGGTGGGCACAGTGACACGGGGGCCATGGCTCCCGTGAGCAGCACACCAGCCGCGGCACATGCACCAGGTCGCAAGATGGGCGAGACACCCTAAAGGTTTCACCAAAGTCTACTGAGAAACTTTGCCAAAGGCCTTCCCAGAAGAAGTGCTCTACCTCTCTGTGGAATGGTTGTGCCGCTCCCTCTCCCAGCTCCGGTCAGGCGCGTAGTCCCACACCACCTCCTCTGCCATCACGTAATACGTCCGCACCCCCTGGTACTGAGGGGCAGGATCTCTTTTTCCACACTTGGAAACGGAGTAGCGTTCCCTCATCCCAGCCTGGTAGTGATTGCTCGTCTGGCAGTAGATCTCGAAAGTCCCTGAGGGAGGCGGCATGAACAAGGAAATCAGCTACTTCAAAAGGCCCCAGGAAACAGCCACTTCCCATGAAGAGCTCCTGATGCGGTGACATCGGTATATGTCCTGTGTGCATCTGTGCATTCATTTAGGGAGTTCGGTTGCCACAGGCCAAGATTAAAAGGGGTTGTTAGAGAAACAAAGCGGGAATGGCACAGCAAAGTCCTACACAAAAATAATCTCAGGAGGCTCTCCCACACAATAACCAGCTTATTAGACATGAAGAAACCACCGAAGGGACATAACTATGCTACCACTGCTAGGGCACTGGTTAAGTGAAAGATCTACCCTGTGAACACCAAAGGGGAGGAGACAACTGGCAGCAGGGACCACCACATTGTGAGAACAAGACATGGTGCTGTGTGCCTATCCCACAAACTGGGAGGACCAGAGCCTGCCATAAACGTGAATCTCCACAAGCCACGGACAGGGGAGCAAAGCCCTGACAATTGTCTGCTATGCCATTCTGAAAGGCATCTTTGCATGTTTCTATGGGTCACAGGCAGCAGCGTCCATCCGGGCTGGTACAACAAATACGTAAGAGGAAGTGGCAGCCTAGAGAATCAGTCTGGGGCAATACAGGACAAGATTGAGTATCTCCTGTTCTTCTCCAGAATCAGATGCAAAGACAGGAGCTGGAGCCTTGTGAGTGGGACCAAACAGGACCTAAAGCCCAGCTCACCCTGTAAGCATTTACACCGTGCTAAAGAATCAGCCGTGGGAGCAAATACCGCAATGGCACTTTTCCTGCTGCTAAGCGAGATGTGTAGGCACTCACCCTCGTTATCAGGTTGCATGAAGGCTGTGGCAAACGTGTGAGGGAACAGATTGGTTGAATCTCTCCGCATCCCATTCATCTGCAGGGTGTTTCCCTGAAACACAGCTCCGTGTACATCTGCTTCACTGCCCAAGCCCAGGAGGTGCCAGGACACGTTGTCTCCTTCACACATACTCAGCCCAGGCAAGTTACCAAACATAAATCCATTGATGGCTGCAAAGGAGAAAACCGTTCACCCTGTGCATGGAGGTATCAGCCAGGAGATGCATTCCTTTCATACAGTTTGACAGGGCAGGTTTGCCAGGGGAGATGAAGCTTGCTTGTCATTCAGCCCCAAATATGCTTGGGACACGCTTTCCGAGCCAGCTGTGCCGCTTGTTGCACGTCCCACCTACTGCCTCCAGCCTCACACCATTTCAGGCCAGTCTAGCCTCAGGTTGAACACTGCCTGTCATCTCTGGGTTCACCCCCACACCAGCCCCTACCGTGCATCTTGTTTGACTCTTCAAAGCCATCGTCCTTCCTCATAGAAGTCTCTTCCATCCTCAAATAGTACTTTATGTTTGCATTTAAATACCAGCTGAGGTTCTCATCAAACACGCTGAAGAGAAGGTAAAATTCTTTGTCCATCCCTTTCTGTAATTACAATGAAGGCTTTAGTTTTGAAAACGCACAAATTAACTGTCCCTAGAGTTAAACCTCTTTTGCCTGGTTCCCATGTTCCCCTTTATCTTACACCTTGGCTCACTGAGGGTCAGGGCTGGGTCTTTTTACTTGTGTTGAATGTTTCTCTTTTGTTCCATGAGGGGTACCACTGGCAGATATTCCATGGGTAAAATGATCAAAATTCAGCCAAGGAGACAAAGTCACTGCCTCCTTCCCCACACCTCTACGTTTAGGCGTAAGTAGTTTAGGCGTAGGTGTTACCATCTGTCCAAATCTGACCTGGGATGGACAGCCGGCCCACAAGGCAGACTGATGACTACGTTCCACACCTCCTTTCTCCTACCACAGGCCTGGGTTGGGAATTTTTGTTACCCTAAATCCCTGACAATGTTAATTCTCCTAAGAAATGCATTCCAAAGCACAGTGTGCTTTCCCACTAAAAGAACATGCCCAGCGTTGCCCAGATTGTCACTCTGATATTAATTTCCTGCCTTCCCCAGATGTACTGCCATGAGCAGACTATCTCTGCGAAATCACAAGAGTAAGTTCTGGTTGTCCTGCAGATTTCACCTCCCTTTCATCAAAAACAAAGACTGATATGGATTTGCACAGGCTTTTTTCTAGTCAGCTCTCCTTGAAAAAGAACTGGTCTTGCAGACAAAATGAGACTCACTCAAACCTCAAAGCATTATATCACCCAAGCAAACCACCTGTAAGCAAGTGAAAATATCTTTTCAATGTCTCTGAGACTGTAATGAATTTTCCACATGCCTCCGTGAGCAGCCGGCTATGCAAGCCTCAGGATAAAACTTATCTATAAAGCCACTTCCAAGGCACAGTTGTTCAGCCAAATTTGTCCCCAAGTTGTGAAGCAGTGCCCAGAAGTGACTCCAAGGGCAGCCCATGGGAGCCCAGAACACTGGCCTTTCCTCCCACCCCAAGACCTGGGCACCAGCTGCCCCGTGTTAACCTGCCTTGTGGTTTCGACCCAGCTCTCCTGGGCTCACAGTACTGCGTGCTTGTTTTCATTATGTTTCCTAACATTCTGCTGATGCTTCCTTTCTCTACAAGAAAGCAAAAGACGTGGTAAGAACGTAGCAGGAAAACCCTTTTTACCTGTTTGTTGTTGTCATCCAAAGTGCCCGGTTTGCAGATGACCAGAGGCCCTACCAAGCCTGAGCTGGGGTCTCTGACAGGGTTGGCAGCCGAGCTGTACATCCAGGTGAGGCAGGGAGGGTCACTGGGCATGGGACCAGCATGCGTTGGCACAGCCCAGCGGTACGTAAAGTTGTGCAGTGGTGCGACAGAAACTCCGTTCTGGGACAGACCTTAAAAACAGATTGGCATAGTTATTCCCACAGCTCCCGTACAAGCTTGGTTACATCTTCTCACCAGCTACGTTCATGCTGGGCACTCACGTCACTGAAACACCCGGCACCTCCGAGGTGTGTGTGCAGCACGTGGGAGCTGCCCTCAGTACCGTGCACATTCCCCCCAGCGCCATGGCAGAGACGGGCACGGCAATGACAGACAGCACAGCAGATCCAGCTGCAGCCGGAGAGCCGAACACTGGAAGCATGTGATTATCTAAACTGGAGCGCACTGGTCACCCTCCTCTGCTCACAGGGTCCTACGTAGCTAGCAACGCTCTGAGCCGTGGTTTACAATTTTCATCTGAAGGACAGCACCTCTGGATCCATACTCCCTGAGGCACCCTCCCTGGATTCAATGGAAAGTGTCCTTTGGTGAAGCCTCTGGCAGGCCCAGAGGACCAAGCTGGCTTCCACCCAGGTCCTTCCCTGCTGCAGAAGGTCCCCCAGCAAAGAGGAGGTCCAGGCCATGGAGCTCCACCATCAGCATTAGCACTGAATTACTCGAGAAAAGGGAGCCACAAACCATCATGGTAGCGCATCCCTTCCCACGCCTTCCCATAGGACACTCCGTGAGGCTGGATGCTGAAAGGCCAGGAGGCTTTGTTAAAAAATGTCACCAGGATGGTGTCTCCAACTTCAGCTTTGATCACTGGACCTACACAGGAAGCAAAGAGAGCTTGTCAGAAACAGGTCCCTGCTACCCAGCTACAACAGAGAGAGCACCCTCTCAGGAGAGGAAGCTCTCTGCGAGAAAGAGGGGTTCGCAGCACACCTTGAAGATTCTCAGTCAAAACCACCTAACCAGGGCTGTTACTATGACCTGTTTGGCTCCAGTCACAAATATTACACTGTGTCCCTCAGTACACACTACTAACCTCTGAAAGACTGCCCTGGCAGAACAGTGATTCTGTCCTTTCTACCGCTCCACATCTGTGGTCTGTCTGCCTTGCTCTTAGATGGAACTAACTGCTGTGAACATGTCCTCGGTGCACTCCCTGCATCCCAGAACAACGGGACGGTTACAGCCAACTGGTACTCCTGACATCAGCATCATTCCCTCTGATCCCGAAAGAGAATTTATTGCTGGTTGATTCCTACCAAGTATCCCAAGGTGTTTTTCTTCTTCTGATTGCTGTTTTTCCTCACGGAAGCTCTCGTCCGTATATTCCACATACTTTGCTTTCCAATAGACTCCCCCAATTCTATAGGGGCTATGCTTGAAAAACTGCTCAGCAGGGCTAAATGCAAAAAAAAGCAAACGTCAGGTCATTTCTATGAAAATCAGTCCTGTTCATCTCCTGCTCCCTCTCCACATCCCTCTGGCAATGCCAGCAGAATCTCCAAACCAAGCAGCTTTTCAGACAAGGACAGCATCTCCAGTCAGGAACAGGCAAGCGTGCCTCTGTGAAGCTTTACTGCTTTATAGCCTCACCCACCCCCACTGTGCCAAGGGAGCGCCCTCGGCCCGCAGCCCTCTCCCAGCTGCAAGGGCCGGGTTGGGGGGCACAGGTCCGAACGACATCTCCACTCAAGGCGTGCAAAGGAGGGCACCAAACAGAACTGTGGTGCAGTGAAAGGAAAGGCAGTGCTAGAACATCGAGTCCTTCAGAGCCCTTCAGGGGGCAACTGCAATCATAACTGAGAAAACCTCTATGCAACAGCTGTAAAGAGATTTCTTTCCCCGCCACTACCCTCTCCAAACACGCAGATACACGCAATATGCCTTGTGGGAGAAGCAGCTTAGTTACAAGGCCAGCTCATGGTTCTAAGGAACTGTCAGCCTTAAGGTCTGCAAGTGAGCTGCTGCTTGGCTGCGGGTAAATCATTAACTGCTCTGCCTTCCCACCTCTCCATCTGGAAGAGGCATATCCTCTCCAACAGCTTCCCCAGGAAGGGAAGGGAGGGGGAGGAATGTCTGCGTTCCAGTTAGCCGAAGTCTGAACAGGAACCACTCACAACCGCTATCACAGCCATCTGACATGTGGGATGGAATGCTGTGATCGAGGTCACTGCACTTGATTTCCTAGAAATTGCTTGCAGCAGTTTCACTGAAGTGTATCTGCAGGCTGGCTCTGCCACCCTGTGTCAGCTCCAAGATGTGCTTTCTTAACAGTTCATCAAATACACAGACCTGCTCCTCAGCCCCAGCCCATCAGCCTCTTGCTTACCTGCCTGCCTCACTCAGCTGTTTCCCACTGCTTTGGTCAAGCCCTGAGGGTCCGTAGTCCCACTGCACCTCCTTTGCAGCTATGTAGTACTTCCGAACTCTTCCTTGCAGGGTGGATGCTGGAGCTTGCCGAGAGCAGGTCCGGACTTCGTAGAGTGCCCCCATCCCAGCTGTCCAAGACGTGGTGGAAGACACACATGCTTAACCCCTCTCACCCAGTTTGATAAGCAACGACCAGTCCCACCCTCCTACCACAAACTGGCCACTTCTATCATCCCGAGAGGCACATGGCTGGGAGAAGGCGATCAGGTGTTTCCTGCAGCAAGGAGTTTAGTGATCAGAGTTTCTTACCTTAGATGTTATTAGATGCTACAGAAATACAGACAGAGAGCAAACAGAGCCTTCTGCTGTCCTCCCACATGCCATGCAAGTGCCTCTCACAGGGACTGGAGCCCTTAAGGCGGTGCCTCATCTTAGCTTTCAGCTGTATCGAACTTACAGTTTCCTCACCATTGGTCAACACGGAGCAGCAGGTAGCAGTACAAGCCATCCCCAGTAAGTCTGGCCTGCACATTAATAACCAATGCATCCCCATTTATACAAGACAAGGAATCACCCCATTCATCTAAAGACATTTTTAGTGAGAATGCTGCCCAGAGCACTGCCTACCACCACACTCTACCTCACAGGACCACACTGGGAGGACAAAGGGAAGGCCACAGAGTGCAGTCCAACCTCTGCCTTACCTTGTATGTGATCATTGATCTGACAGCTCAGAAGCCATCTCCCGGGGTTACTAGGGATCATGTCTGCTGTAACAAAAGTGGCTGGGAAGAGGCTGGCCACATCTGTCCTATGGCCTCGAATATTTAGCATTTCTCCATGGAAGTAGGCTGTATGAACATCAATTTCATTGCCCATCCCAAAGAGGTGCCATGAAACGTGATCCCCAGCACACATTGTCACCTCAGGGAGGTTCCCGAACACATAACCATTAATAGCTGCAAAAGCAAGCAAGACAAAAGTCAGAGATTAGAAAAGGGGCCTTCAGAGCTTCTGCCAGCAGGTCAAAGTACAGACACATTTGGAGGATGGACCTAATCAGAACCCATCCTCTTGTTCTGTAGAGGCCAGCTCAACAACTCATTCCCAAGATGAATTGTATTCAAAAATGTCCAAACAACTAACAAAGGCTCGCTCAAGCCAAAGATTAAATCAAAACAACACTTCTGCTTTCTGGAGCTGTTGTGCTGTCACTGTGATATCGTTGGCTCAGCACATGATCTCGGAGCTTGTCGCTCCCTTCTGCCCTCCGCCCACACCCTGGCATACAACAGCAGAAAGTTCATTTCAAGACACAGAGCACCAACGTCTGGACAGAGTCGGTGGCTTCACAAAGGTGACACTGACCGTGCATTTTGTTGCTCTCTTGGAATTCCTCACTTTCTTTGTCTACTGAGCCTGGATCTGTGCAGAATGATGCTATGTTCTCATCTAGGTACCAGCTGAGGTTCTCATCCACCACACTGAACATTAGAAAGAAATCAATGTCCACATCCTGGCGTCTTTGAGAGCTGCCAGTGAGCGTTCCTGGGGTGAAAGAAAAGTTGAATGACTGCTCACTCAGGCAGAAAAGCAGACATCTGTTGAGGGATTAAAACACCAATAGAAGAGTAACTTTTATCACACAAATTACAGACAGATGCTTTCCCCTTCATCATATCACAGTTCATACAGCTCAGCAGGGTTCTAGCAAGCTCACTCGCTTCTAATATATTCCTGCTAATACATTCCTCACTCTCCCTCTGCATGGCTGAGCCGCAACACCTTCAGTGTTCTTACTCCTGAAATCAAACAGCACAAGATTCAGGATTTTAACATGGATTCAGATAGCTCCCTCAGATGAAGCCCACCTGCTCAGCCACTCAGAGATATAGACAACGTAATGACCATAACCCAGTTAGAAAAAAAAAGTACTGTCTTCAGTCATGCTGCATTTTCCTCTGCATTTTCAGCTGAGAGCTGCCCACCAGAGTGTCTTCTCATGCTATCCTTGTTCAAGTCACCACAAAATCTTCACGGTATGAAACTGCAGCCGTCAACTGCTTTCCCTTGGAGTCTTTACCTTTTCTGCATGTAAGTAATGGCCCAATTAATCCAGAGGCAATGTCCTTCGGTGCATCAATATGAGAGTGGTAGATCCAGGTCAAGCAGTTTGGATCATCAGCAGTTGGGCTGTGATCTTCAGGGACAGTCCAAGTATAGGTGTAATTTCCTCCTGGGAAAACAGCATCATCCTTCTTCTGATTCTGGGGGGACATATCAGGATACAGGGATCCTAGAACAACAGAGCAATCACAACATCTATTCAGGACAAGCAGAGACGTCCACACACATAACCATACACTGAGCTGCTCTCACTCAGAGAGCTGTATGTATATACTTGGGTAGATTTTAAAGCCAGACTCATCACTTCAAGGCTGAAAAAGCATTTAATCATCATTCTCTCAAAGAGAAACTGAGGCGCAGAGCCATTGTGAGGCAAGGGGCCTCATAAATGGGTCAGCATTTCTGCCTGTTGCTACTTTGCCTTCAACTCTGCAACGTGCCACAATCAGGCTCTCCACAATTTCTAGGGCTGCTTCAAATAGCAGTTCTTTGGTCTCGTACCTCGCCATTCTTGTGAACTCCCTGAAGCGCATCACACTTGCGTGCTACTGCACCTCAAATAATGACTAAAGCTCTTTTGATTCTGCAGCACTCTCCCACTCGCAAGCTCTGGAGGTTCTTCTAAAATCAAGAAATCTGGGCTGTGTGCCACCAGGCCCAGGTCAGGAAACTGCTCCCAGACCTACAAACCTGCTCACCCAACACCAGGTAACCTCACCACACACTTCAGTGCAGTCGCTTCCCAGCAACATGGCTTTGGGCTCACCAAGTCTGTGGCTTCCCACATGTCCTCAGTTCACGCTCCTAAGCTCCCAGTGAGATAAATCTCTCCCTTATGGCAGCAGCTCATTTACCTTCAGAGTCCTTTTCGTAGAAAACACCATGAGGATGAATTGTATATGGTCGACTAGCAAAATTTTTTAGGTGTACTTTAATGGTATCCCCCACTTCTGCTCGGATGACGGGCCCAAGGAACCCCAGCCAGCCAGGTTTGGGAATCTCAGCCGTGTACGTGGAGTCTGTGTATTGCTTATAGACAGATTTCTTGTACGTGCTTCCCACTCTGTCTTTGCCAGGCTGGAGGAATGTGGAGGCCTTGCTGTTGAGTTCAGAAAAGGAAAAGACACAGCGAGTCATGCATTCCATGAACAGCTGGCGGATAACACCAGTCAAGTGGTGATGACGCACAGCTCTACTCTAGCATGCCCCAAGTCAGCTCCTAACGTCCTCCTCCCATGCCTCTGACCACTGTGACTTGGGTCATGCCCCCAGCTCCTCACCAAGGGATGCAAAGAGCACCCAAACAAGGAGCGGGAAGGACCGTGCTCCTCTGATGATCCCACAGGGGCGACACAGGGAATTTCAAAGCCCCTCTCAAGCCTGCTGCAGCCTCCACTGGGCTTTTAGAAACTCACTTCAATGCCTTGTGGCAATTGCAGCTAAATTCACAGTCCAAAAGACTATTTTCTACTTAACAGATTCTGAATTACTTGTAGAATAGCAGACAAGTCAGGCAGGTAGGTACCCAGCACGTAACCAGCTTCCAGAGTTAAAGCCTCACAGAGGTACTAAAGTCCAGCTCAGGGGTATATTTGCTCTTTATGGCTAATTCTTAGTAGATAAGAGATGAATCACAGCTCAGGTATCAGTGAGACCGGCCTAAATGAGAACTCAGGTTACGTGCCCCACTTCCCCCCTAGAGTCAATCACCCTGCAGTAATACAAGTAGCCCTGAAATACAGGCAAACCCTAACGTGTATCTCCAGAGGATGAACAGCTGGGACCAAAACACGAAGCACCATTCTTGTCATTCAGAATTGTGAAGGGCTCGGTTCTAACTGTGCAATCTAGAGCTCACCCCTTTGTGAAGTCATCCCTGCAGCCCCTGCTAGTAAAGAGTTTACAGATAACTGACACTTTATTTTACAGGTCTGCCCTCTTTTCCACCCACAGAGTCCATTTCTTCCCCACAAAAAAAAATAAAAAAAAAATCTTCAAGCATTTTACCATCTCTATCATTCACAGCAATATCACATCATTTTCTTACTGTTAGCAGTTTGGTTTCTACAATCACCATGCAAGTAAGTCCCACTGGCTAATTGTTTGCAGTGACACAATAGGTTTTAAATTGCTTCTAAGTTTCACAGCCTTGAATTTCACTTCCTTCTCGTCATGTATTGAGAGAGAAAGCAAACAAAACTCACTGCATTCATTATCACTGCAGGAGTCAGCAATACCATCTTTATTAATCTTGATTTTGGGGGCATTTCCTTTTCTGTGAACTACTTTAAGTCTATTCAGCATCTTTTCCAGGCTAAACTGACAGACCTTGATGTTTTCCTGTGAACCTTTCCTATTCCTGCTGTGCTGTTCCTAAAAGCTACATATAAACCCAAGTGTTACTTATTATGGAGGGGTAAATGACTGAGAGCAAGACACGAAATACAGGCTATTTGCCATAGAAAATGACAGGGTTAAAAAAAACAAAGCCACAAAAACAACCCCAACCAACAAAACACAAGAACACCACAAATGCCTTTAAAAAGCTGTGGAAAACTATTGGGAAAAAAACACCAATCCAAACAACTAAAACACCAAAAAAAAAATTAACAAAAAAAAACAACAACGAACCACCGAATAAGGCTTGCTGTTTTGAAAACTAAAACCAAAATCTGTTTTTGTAGTGACTCAAAGCAATTACTGAAGTTTCCAGATTTTCTTTTGCAACAAAAACATCTTTCACAAGAAAAACATCTTTCAAACAACCCCTAAAATTTCATGCAGGACGTTCCATTAAGTCTAAGGCTTGAAATTCCATTTAAACGAAACCAAGCCGGCTGAAGTCCTTTACATCAGGGTGAAAAGTCACCAGGCCTCGGGATACACAACCTCATCACCAGCTGGAGCTAAGGAAAATGAAACCCCAGGGCAGAGTCTTGCACAACCCGACCAGTTCCAGCGCCTGCACTTCCCTTCAGGGTGTGGGCACCAGCTGCCACATTTAACTGAAGGTTCGATTTCCCACCGATACAGTTGCTACGTTCCACGATAACACAAGTTAAACATTAAACTCATAAAGATCAGACATCTCTCAGATCGTGTCTGTTGCTTGCTTAGATGCCCCAGAATACTTGCATGAAACTGCTCAGATTTTAAGCCAGTACCAGCCTAATTGACAGAACTGAACCTACGGGCTATGCGCGATGCTTTGATTGGCGAGCACGTTCTTCCCTGTTGGGGCATAGTCCCAGTCCACCTCGCAGATCCCCAGGTAATAGACTCGGGTGGTGCCTCCAGCAAATGCGGGTGGTAGCATGTGGATGTAAAGCAGCAACAACCAAAGCCATCCCATCGTAGCCTGAAGTGAAGGCGCTTTTGCAGGTTACACCTGTCTGGGAGAAAAGAAAAACATGGATCATGAAACAGAAGTAAAATATGATAATGTCATGTGGATATTCCAAGAAGATATGAGGAAATCAGGTAGAAGTCCTCCTGGGATCTTTCTTCACATATCCAAGAAGGAAATCACTCCTATAACAAAATTAATGCACAAGGTGGATGGAGATTATGCCGTGCTAATCAGTCCCCAACCCCAAATATGCTTCTCTCATAAACAGTTTGATTCACCTTTTATTTTGTGTGTGTGTGTGTAGTTCTCTTCCAAATGCTTTGTTCCATAGTGTTGGCAAAATACTGCTAATTCAGCCAGCTTTCACACAGCCAGGTGAACAGATTCACAGCGAGCTCTGTGTCAGCAGAAAATGCACCTGTAAACCCTAAGTACTGAGTAACTGTCATCTTAGGGACACGGGGTCCTGAGCGGAAAATGCCCCTGGAAAGTCAAGCGGATGGTTTTTCACCACCTCTGACGTGCCAAATCATCTTACAGCACTGCATACAAAGCTCAGGGAAACAACCCCAAGAGAGTATCTTTATCTTTCAAAACGTTGCCAAGATCTCTCTATTCTGCTAAGCCACCCGAGGAAATACCATTCGGTACGAAGTAATTTCAAAGCAACTTACTATGAAGTAATTTCAAAATTTAGCTTCTTCAGAGATTGTTCTTAAAGAGTGGTTCTCTGTAATCCAGGGAGTGAATCTCAAACGGGCTGCACAAAGTTTAATCTAGTTCCATGAAATACTATCCCCATGATTTAGCTCACAAAGTAAGGAGCTTACTCATAAAACTTGCAATCCACATCGAGCACCAGAAATACTCTCAAGAGAGATCCAGGGCAATTTGCATGAATGGTCCAAAATTATCAAAATACAACTCATATTCACAGAGTTCAAAGAACTACACATACAAAGCAGAAACTGATGCAATGTTGGGCAGCAGAATTACACCAAAGGATACCAAAATAGCTTAGGATTAAAATGGATAACAAAATTTAAAAAAATACACATGAAAATGCTTAAGAAAGATCTCATGCAATGAGATGTCCAGCTTTTGAGACACATTAACAACAACTTAGGAAATGTTCAGTAGAGAGAAATAGAAAACAAAAAGAATTAGAAGAATGTGACCTAGGAAGAAAGCTTAAAGAAATCAGTTTTCCTTAGTTTCCGAAAGAAGGGTATTGTGACACAACACCACGTCAAACACAGAAAGGTTCTTAGTAAAAGGTGGGCATTATTAATTCTCCCGTCTTCGGTAATAGCAACACGAATATACCAGGTTTACTCGCAGCAAAGCTGGATATTCTGCAAGCTTTCAGCTAGTTCGGCGTCATGCTGGAACGACTTTCCCAGAGCAGCTGTGAAATCTCTTACCAGATCTGATGGCCAACATATGAGGCATATCCCCAGCATATCGCAATGGACCGGATACCGCTCGTCTTGCTTCCAAACCTGCATTTCTGACTTCCAAACAAGTTGTGCTATCCTTGGAAACTAGTGATAATCAGGTACTACAGATTCCAAACAAACATTAAATGGAGCAGTTGAGAGAAAGCAACTCTCAACTCGCAAGCCCTTTCTTCCCTACTGTCTCAAAAGGGGGCTGTAGGGATCTCTCTAAATGCGAGGTGGTTCTGATCCACCAGCACAGCAGAGCTCTGCTCCAGCAGCTCCAGAGTAAGCCCTTCAGGAGGTCCTGGGTACACACCTGAAGGAGCTCGGGCCCGGAACAGCCTGTCCCTGTGTCCCTGGCAGAGCAGGGATGACAGCCACGCTCAGTCCTGCTGCCACTGCCACTGACCACCCACCCCGACCCGCAGCGACTGGTGCCCCCGAACCAGCGCTAGTCATGGGGGTGAAATACCTGTGGTGGCCCGCTCGTCCCGTCCCAGTAGCACTGTTCAGACAGCGGTGCCCGCTTCGTTTCACACACAGGTGCCAGAACAGCAAAAGGCAGCTGTGACAGCATTGAGGAAGGACAAGCTGACCTTCCCCACTCCACAGGCACACGCCCTGCTGGGAAAGGCACCAGGATGCTTCTGACTCAGCCGGAGAAGCAGCCTCTTGTCAGCGCAGGTCAAAGAGCGCAGGAGCAGCGGAGCACGGGGCAGCCATCCCAGGGGGCTGGAGCCACCGAGCCCACAGCGTCAGCGGGGGCTGCTCTTCACATCCTCTCATGTTAATGGTTTCTGCCAGCAATACCAAACCCTAGGCAAGGGTCTGTAATGAGGGCCAACAGCCACTCTTAAAGCTGGTGTGAAAATTGCCTACCAAGACAAACCCCCGCGGCGCCACCCCGCTGCTCCTGCAGGGCAGAGCCCCTGCTCACCCGCACATCACAGCTCCGCACGGCGCCATCCGAAAACCCGTCGGGTAAATCGCACTTGACCACAAGTCGTGGCAATCGAAACGCCTTGTGAACGCGTTCTGGTGCTTAAAAAAAATCAAGGACAAAGTCTTTAGGATCAGGACGTCACACAAACATCCGTGGCAATCTTGGGAAACAGCAAAACAACATCGCTCCATGGAGACTCAGCAGGCTAGACCGACTCTTCTCACAGTCTCTTCACAGCCACTAACCTCCACCACTTAGTTACTGCACTAGGGTGAGGCACAGGAAACCAGCAATCTCAAATTCTTTTTGAAAAAGTTACTTTTTTCTTTTAAATATATGCCTTAACTAAGAAAAAACAATCAATTGAACAGCCAACCAACCTTCGTATTGCATTCATTCAAAAACCGGGATACTTCACAGCCGAACCCTTACTCCCAGAACCATCTCCCTAGTAACAGCCCGGGAAAAGCAAAGAAGTGAAAAATTAAGTTTTGGTCTATTTGCCACCTAACTAACTTCCACTTTACCGAGGCGAGTGCGTGTCTTTCCCGACACCTGGCCGCTGAAAAGCCACTGCCCGAGAAAAAGGTGGGGGAAAAGGGTACGAGACGAAGGGAG